CTTGGAGCGTTGGGCCGAATACTTTGCAAGGCAGTTTAAGCAATCTGAGTTATCGCTTCCTCTTTCGGGCATTCCGTGCCCTTCTACATGGGCCGTCTCCTTAGATCCGCCCTCATGCGCAGAAGTCGAACGCGAGGTCAGACTGTTGAAATTGCTTAAGGCCGCCGGTGCAGATAGAATTCCCCCAGCTGTTTACAAACTCGGGGAACCTGCTCTTGTAGATGATTTACATGAGTTGTTAATGGAACTTTGTGAGCAGAAGACTGTCCCGACAAACTGGATCCGCCCGGTCATAGTCCCAATTTTCAAGGGATGATGCCGTTCGGAATGTGGCAACTATAGAGGGATCTCAATTACCTCTAAATTACTTACGTTTGTCGTTTTCTACAGACTGACTGGCGTTCATGAAGGCCAGATCCACGAAGAGAAAGCTGGCTTTCATCGAAATCGAGGCTGCATCGACGTCATCTTCACTTTGCGTCAATTGCTAGAGCACCGCCATATATATTGCCGACCCACTGTCGTCGTGTTTGTCGACATCAAAGATGCCTTCGATTCGGTGGATCGATGTACCCTTTGGGACTGTCTACTCAGGAAAGATGTGCCCGATAAATATGTAAACATTATCAAAACGCTGTACACGCATAGTTCTGGCAGAGTGATGGTTTATGGCAAACTGTCGCCGCCCTTTAGTATCTCCCGCGGTGTGAGACAAGGTTGCCTGTTGTCACCTTTCCAATTTAACTTCGCTTTTGATAGAGTCAGAAACAGTGTTCACTGAACACGACCTGGAAGGTGTGGAGCTACTTCCTGCTGAGCGACCTCTAGACTTGGAGTATGCGGACGACATTGTCATCATATGTGACAGCGCCCAAACGTGCCAGGCTGCACTGGACCGATTGGCACTGGCTGTCAATCGTTTTGGGCTATGCTTTGCTCCATCGAAATGCAAAATTATTCTCCAAGATGGGCAAAGACCCACCCCTGCGTTAATCTTTGGTGGTGATCAGCTAGAAGTCGTTAAGGAAATCAAATATCTGGGCAGCTATATTAGCCCCCGTGGGATCGAAGCTGAGAGTACGAACCGTACAGCAGAAGCTCGAGGTGATTTTGCCAATCTTCGCCACCTGTGGCGCAGACGCAATATTACTTTTGCTCTGAAGAGCAGAGTTTATAATGCAGCCGTCCGTTCAACCCTCCTGTACGGTTGTGAAATCTGGCCCATCAGGTCGACAGACATAAAGAGGCTCGTCATATTCGATCATCGCTGCCTTCGCAGCTTAGCTCATGTCGGGTGGGAGCACCACGGGAGCAGTGAGCGTGTTCGGCGTTGCGTACTTGGTGCAGGAAGAGCGAGTGAACCGCTCAGCACCATTATATCACGCACCAGGCTCCGATGACTGAGCCACGTGTTGCGCATGCCAGCACACTGACTCCCGCGACGTGCATTGTTTGCGCGTTGTGGGTGTGGTTGGAAGAGGAGGAGGGGAGGCCAAACGAAGACATGGTCGAGAGGAATGAAAACCCTCACTTCGAAGTTGGCGTCGGTTGGTGCATCCCGATTGCCTGGCTGGGGTCCTAAGGACGATGAACACGTTTGGTTGGACACTTGCTGACATGGCTAGGAGCCGGCCCCAATGGCTTTTGTGCTGTGAGTTTCTTTGTCCATCCCCCTCTTGCTTTGCCTTCCTCTCCATTCACGATCTCATTAGTTAAGCATAATATAACTCTCCTTTTGCGGCACAAGGCCGGCTGTTAGCTCTCCAGAACGATGTCCATCTGTTACTGTGGTCTCAGCTGGCGTGCCACTGTTTGTTTTCCTTTTCTTGTCTTTTGTATTGCGGCACAATAGCTTAGGTGTTTTCCACCTGCAGCTAACGTGTATAATGCTGCTACTGCTGCTGCTGATGATGATGATGATGACGATGATGATGATAGGCGTTGTGTCAGTTAGACCGAAACAGAACCCAGTCCGGTCTCTTTTCGGAAGAGCGATGAAAATGTGCTCCGATTACACAATTGAAGCAGATCGCGCTGTAATACGAAAAGTGTTTCTTACTAACAGCCATCCCGAGGATTTCATTGACAGGAATATGCGAACCGACTGTGCGGTCGCCAAAATACCCACAGCATTAAAGAAACCCGTCTATTTCTCGTTACCATTCAAAGGAAACAATAGTTCCGAACACTTAGCAAACGGGCAAGAGCGGCCGTCATTAACACCTACGGGGTTGCACAATTACGAATTATCTTCACTTCCACGCCCATGATGCACCTCTATCTGAAGGATAAACTGTGGATATAACCTCTTGTGTGTGTATCAATGTACTTGTTCATGTGGGGCAAGTTACATAGCTCGCACCACGAGACGTTTGTCTGAACACCTTCGCGAGCATCATCCAGCGTGGCTAAGGCGACGGTTGAACAAAACGTGTACCACTTCACTAGTCGCGCACCTAGTCCAGACAAATCATCCCGTCGTTATCAGTAAAGACTTTCGCCCGACCTACCGTGTGATGGGTGTCCATTCCAAGCTTATCAGATGCCGAATCGTTGCAATGGCGGAGGTGACCACGATTCGTTTCAATAACCCTCCGTTGTGTGTGCATAAACAATTCGTTAAGGCTTTGGCTTTACTAATGGCCAGCTGTCGCACGGGCAGCTGCTGTTTGAACGGACCACACCCATTATGAGCATTTTGGCGCCTTCACTTTAGAGCTGCTCAATCTATCCTTTTTTTATCTTAATTATTTAAATCCGTGGTATTTGGCCTGATGATGAATCACCGAAAACGAGCTTGTTTGCTAGACTGTATTTTCATGCCTGAAAAGTGAATTACTCCTCATCTGTGTAATGATTGGTCACATGTTTCAAGAGGTAGGCGCGATGTATGCCGATGTGTGTTTGGTGGTGGTGGTTTGTGTGTGTGTGTGGTGGCAGGGTTCATAACGAAACCGTCAAAGGCGATCTGTGGAGGCGGAAGCCGGTGCTTACACATCGGAGACAACGGGCTAATTCGAACAGTCTGAAGAACTGAAGTCTGAAGACTCGTTTCAACTCATTGGTGACCTGGATAAAATCAACCTGTTAGAAAAAGTCGTGTGTTCCTTGGATATAGATTCCTTATTCACGGACGTACCACTACATCAAATGGTTGATTACGTTTACGAATTAGCCGAACGCTCTGGCTGTTCGTTGCCGATTCCCTACTGAATTGTTGAGAGAATCCCTGCAATTGTGTGCGGAGAATGTAGACTTTCATTTCCGGAACCCACTGTACCGTCAAATTGATGTTGTAGCAATGGGTAGCCCATTAGGTCCTGTTCTCGTTCATTTCTTCATGCTGACAATGAGAGAAGCATTTCTACGGAAATAGCCCAGGTACCCTACTACGAACGATATGTTGATTATGGCCTTCTGTTCCGTCATCCACTCTACACCTCAAGCATGTCTGATCGCACCCAACGTTATGTATATCAGTTATCTATATCAGTTATTGCTAATGGTTCTAAGGAGACAATACGTAATGCATGCATCTACCGGTCTTCGTCTTCTCTCCACGCTTTTCACACTGGGTAATGTATACATCCAGACACATCCGCACAGAAATACACGGAGGACGGGTTAAACACACACGCGCACATGCTCACACTAACCATGCTATAGTATCAAACGTCTGAGCAGCTGTGAAGTGCAAAATGAATGCGCGTCAGCGAAATTTCATACATTACAAACACTATTTACACTCAACTACGTTTTTTTTTAGTCCTTTCCTTCAACTGTAGTCATTTCCAAGTAAAATTCTGCCGGTGGCCGAGTGGTTGTCACGTTTGCTTCCCAACCGTAAGGTCACCGGTTCGAATCCGCGTATGGGTGGGCGTCCTCGCGGTATAATCAGCCCGCGCGCGACTGGTGGTGGTCGCGCGGCAGCGAAGCGCCGTTACGGCGTATAAGCTGACACATTTCTTTTTTTTCATTTTCAAAATTCTGCCATTTTACCTGATGTCTACTCCTGACTTTCCAACCTTCGCAACCAACGAACCACGGTTTCCATGTTACATGCCCAATAGGCTACGGTTGAGTGACCAATGTTTAGTTACTGTAATTTACTGAAAAGCCTGCGCGTCGATCAGAAGCTATTTGGATCAGAAGGCAATGTATTACTTAAATGGTAACCAACTCCGTTCTGCGACTCGGATTTACTCTTCCTTGATTGGCTGCCTCTGGCAAAACACCATTTTTATCGATCGAGCTAATTGGTTATTCGAGCTTACCAAACTACTCTCGTTCACACGAGCAGGCGTTGCTGCTGGATTAGGGGCGGACAATTGATCGCGCGGCCTCATACCTGTTCGTTCCGAGTGGGTATACGATTACCAACAGCTGCCATTACAATGCTCACACCACAAGAACAATTCATCAAGAAGAGGTCATCTTGCCTAACCCTTGGTCGATGACTCATATGTTGTATTATGCTAGTCGGGTTCGTATTCCTCTACTGTACCTGTTAGCACTAATTTCCATGGTGAACACTCAAAGATATAGCAGACATTATTCACTCTGACTTACTTAAGTGCAACATTGGATGAAGGCACAATGAATCAGTTTGGTTGTTTAACTTTCATCTGTTACTTCTAAACTAACTGGAACGCCGATTTAGTCCTGTGTCTATAGGTACACGAAGGACGACGGTTCAGTAGATATGCATAACTTATGGGCCATTCTTCAAGCGCATAACTGCGACTTCATTATCTATGCATAGTCCATTTACTGCAGTATCTCACAAACTTACAGACAACCAGACGGTAGTTGTAAACAAGTCGATATATTTTCGGTCGACACTTGATATTTAGTCCGAGCTTTTATTCCGATAGTGGTTCACGTGCAAGTACATGCGTTTCGTATACTGATATTCTGACTAACACTATATATCGTTCGTCTATTCATCCATATTTTGCTTAGAATTTTTATTGTTTTTCATTTGGTTCGCTCTCATTTAGCTCAACGGTTCAAAATCCTGCCTTATGCCACTCAAACATACTTCCCCAAGGGAAGGGACGCCACCGAGGATGCACTCTGATGACAAATGTCTCTGCACCTATCCATTTGGCTTGTCAGATCATCCTCCGCCTCCTGAACATTGTGACAGGCAGACGCTGTTGGAGTGGAGAATTGGAGTACAAGAGTCTATTGTCGTCGGACTGCTAGAAAAAATTTCTCTTTTAAAGGCCGAGATGTTGGAACAGCTCAAATACACAAAGACACTGGATCAAGAGCAGAGCAATCATCTACACGAGCTGCATATCGAACTTAAGGGACTAATCGATACTATCCTATCGATGAATAAGGAAGTTCAGGTAGGCTTTTGAAGCAGTTGTGCCAACTGGTAAACAATTGGGGCACGACATAGTTTTAAATCTTGAAATATGCTTATAGAAATGTAATCATTCGATTCGGTGCAGAACTTTCTTCTCGACAATTCTCATCAGACTACTACATAGGTAAAAGCTGGTTAAACATTCCAATAAGCCAATTAAGCTAGGTTAGGGCTGGGGCAAGTCTAATCAGGCTGCGTTGTTTGTCGACCGTCTCTCCAATCGACAACGGCAGTAACGCACATGCAAATGGTTGGAGGCATCCGGTTCCGTATTTGCCTGTCACTGCGGCCTCCACGGGGATAGCCACAGGACGCCTGCGCCTACAGAGGGACCATGGGTGGCTTGCGCTGCGCCACCCACAGCTCCAACCACACACCCCATATCCAATGTAAACCCGAAGGAATAATACCGGGAGGCATGTGGAGGTGAGCCAGGTTTCATCAACAGAGTCGGCGCACACCCCTTCACAGGCAAACACAAGCACGCTGTATTTGGGAATCAAACGCACACAAAGCGGTGGTTAGGCCATAGGCAACTCCACACACAAACCATGTGCATAGAATCACTCTTTGAGCCTAACACGATCACGAAGACCGTGCACCCCGTCCGCTCCAGTAATGGCCAACTGTCTCCTAGAGCCAGTATAGACGAGGTGGATGGCTTAAGACAAGTAGACACCTTGTCAACACGCACATCAAGCACAGCCAGACCCGGGGGTGTCAAGCAACAGCGAGTCACATAAAATGACGATATCAACTAAAATAAATTGAATAAAGCATATGCATTAGCCGACTTAACTATTTACTGATTTGGCATATAAAATAAATGGGTTGTCAACATATCCGCGATAAATTCAAAATGGCAGCAAAATCGATAAAAGTGCGCATTATACCAACGCGACTAAAATTAAGACAAATAACCACCTTTCGTTTAAACGAGGAGTAAATGTAAATAGAAGCTTAATCCGATATATATAAAAATAAGCTAGCAAAGTGAGTATTAACAAAATATAGCAAACCGATCATCTGAAAATAAACTCAGCAAGCAAGTAAGCGGTTAGTAATTCCAATGTTGTGTACCTACCAATGCTGCGCCGGTTCTGCTTACGTTCTCAGCGGGACTCTCCATCGTTTCGGTGTTGGCCCCGAATGGCCTCTCTCGTGGCTCATTAGACCAGCCAGACTCAGGCACTCACGACCGCATGTGCTACAACACCATGTGCTCGACGTCAATGGAGTACAGCCCATCGGTGCTTGTCGCTTCTGCACCTACCGCTTCTCCGCACACACGAGGGCTTTCTCTTGCACCTCGACAACTGCCTTCGTAATCAAATCGCGCCATGCATGCCGATCAACTGCCTTCGATTCCCATGACCTGCAATTAAGATTAGTACGTGAGAGGCTCACTTTGATCATCTCATTTACAGGAAGCTTCGGTTTCCCCACATGCCGCTTCCCCACACACAGTAGCTACTTCGGTATCCGCGTCGTATCCATACGCCACACATGACCGACCCACCTCAGGTGTCTCAGCAAAAGTATGCAGTCTACTGCATACATCCCACTTCGACGCAACACTTCCGTGTCTGCAACTCTGTCGCACCAACCGATGCGCAAAATCGTTGCAGACACTGTTGATGAAACCGCTCGAGATGTCTCTTACCTCGCCTGTACAACGTCCACGTTTCGCTGCCCAGTTGAAGAACGGACAGCGCCATGGAATTGTACACCATCAGCTTCGTGCCAACGGTAGGCTAATGGTTGTTCTACACTTGGTACTCAACTTTCCTGAATGCCGCCGCTGCCTTCAAGACCCGGATACGAAACTCAATGTGTATTTGCTATTCTGTCGAAATCACACTCCCAAGGTGGCAGAAGCTGCAGGCTGTTTCCAATACTTCATCACCAATGCTGTTTTGCGGCACCATTGCAGAGTACACCTTCGGTGAAGAACGAAAGAGACAGATAGTTTTGTTTGTATTGATAGTGAATCCGAATTTGGCCGCTGTCGAAGCCAGAGCACTGCTTATGCGTTGCAACACATCCGTGCTCTGTGCAATCAACGCACAGTCGTCAGCGAACAGCAACACACGGATAGTCGTATCACAGACTAGAGTTCTCGCACCGAAACGACGGATGTTCAACAACCCACCATCAATACGGTGCTCCACACGAAAACCGTAAGCACAATCCGCATCATGCCTACACGACCTCGTGGCATGAAGATAAATATTAAACAGGGCAGGAGCTAAGACGCAGCCTTGCTTCACAACAAAGACAGCTGCACTCATCAGAGGTCTGTCCACTCAGCTGCACCCTCGCCCGCATATCGCTGCGTAGACATTTAATCAAACTTAGAAACTTACTCGGACAACCAAACTTACTCAACACCCGCCACAATGCCTCGCGGTTTATCGTATTAAATGATTTGATGAAATCAATAAACAGCAAGTGCAATGGCTGGTACCGTTCTCTACACCTCCTTTAACTGACGACCCGAACAGCATCCACACTGCTCTTCCGCCACGTTCGGTTCCACAGCCTGACTGACGAGGCGGTTGAGCAGGATTCGGGCAATCATTTTGCCCACACAACTCAGCAAGTTGATGCCACGATAATTCGCGCAACATTACTTACTTCCTTTGCCCCTTGTACAGTGGTAGCACAAGGGCATCCTTCAGCTCAGGAGGCACCGCCTCCTCAATCCACACGCGTTGCACAAAGTGGTGCAGCGGACTCACCAACATGGGTCAGTTATGTTTCAATAGTTCAGGCGGGATTTCGTCGGCACCGGCACACTTGTCGTTTTGCAGTTGAGCAAGTGCTCTCTACATCTCATCTAGTGTCAGCGTGTCCGCCAGACTCGCCTTCACATCGTGCTGCTTCGGACCGTACAAGGTAGGCCAGTCGATCTCTGGACGGTTGTTCAAGAGACAGTCAAAGTGCGTTCGCCAGATCTGCAGTCTGTGTGTAGGTGGCGCCTGAGTTGCCATCGATTAGCGTCCTCAGCGACTCCAACCTCGTTCCGTATATCGCCTTCAAGGAGTCAAATAATTCCTTGTGTTGGTGGCGTTTGGCGCAGCACTCAATCTGCTTCGCCTTCTCCGTCCATGCATTTTTAATGTGACAGAGCTCTCGGGTCAGTCACCGTCGAATTCTGCCAAACTTTCTCTTCTTCCCCCAAGTTATTGGGGTCTGCCACATATGCAGTGAATGCTGTATCCTTCTCAGACACTGTTACAGATCGGCCCTTACTAAATCACGACTCTTAGTAGAACGCAGTATTCGGCCCGTAGCGCACGACAGCAGAACACGTCAGTTTCAGCAGTACCCAGAATGTATTATGTATCGCCATCAGCACAACTCTTCGCATTAGTTCAGACAGTATAATCGATGATTGGCTTGGCGTTAACGGACACACGTTGATACTGGTGGATCTAGCCAATAGGAACCCAGGTTAATCGATGACTAGTTTGCCGTTGGACAGACACACTGCGCAGATGCCAAAGACACCAATGCGCCAAATATCGCACTGTTCTCAAAATACTCGGGCCGCTTACAGTTTGCGCACCCGGTTGTCTCTTCGGCAGCAGCTGTCCCCTGATCGCAAATGTGGTGACACAGATGGCCCATTATGGCTATACATTCCACCGCGCACATGCGTACAGCCATCGTCTTCTCCAACTCCAGCCTCTTCTCCGCGGTACCTAGGGAAAGAAAATAATATTTCCGCCAGTTCACGGCAGGAGTGCAATACATAGATTTACGAAAGTACATGTACAGTTATGTCCGCACCAGTTTGTGATTCGTGCCACACAGCTCCACGCAGTACATCTGTCATGCGCACTTCACTCATGTCACGCTGAAGTACAATGCTACCGTCGAGCAGGTGAACGTGACCACGCTTTGTGTGCGTCCACTCAGTGCAAACCGAGTGTTCGTGATTGTCAGGCCGTGAGTGGCACACAGTGAGCACAGCCTGTCACCGTTCGCATTCGCGAAACCAATGCCATGCGAACGGAGTACATCTTTTCGCACCGATGCATCACGCGCAACGCGCGCGTTAAGATCACCCAGCAGCAATAGTTGGTCGCTTCTCGGCACAGACCGTATCACAGAGGATAGCTGTGTAAAACTGAGCATGCGTGGTTTCAGGATAACACATCGTCGGACCGTATCTGCTTATAAAAGTGGCAAGCTGCCCTCTTCCTAGTCGTAGGCGAGCAGTCCTCAGTCACGTGCTTAGGCCAGCTGGTTCACTCACCAGCTGTCCATGGAGGCGATCGGATATTGCAGTTCAGACCCCATGTTCACGTGGTGCTAAGATGGCGTTGCCCACCCAGTAGAACGTGCAGCCAGCACCTGCTTCATGCAACTTACCTTGTTCAGCAAGCCGAGTCTCACTGAGCGCCGCAATCTCGATGTTGTAACGCGCCAATTCCATCGCGACCAGTGCAGTGCGTCGCTCGGGGCGCTCAGTCGAGTTTCGGTTCGGTAGTATGCGCACGTTCCAGCACCCGATGTTGAGTGCTTTGCGCGCAGGCATACGATTGCACTGGTGGGCAATTGCACGCGTGGTGGTGGTTGTGCTTTGGAGGTTTGCTTGAGGGACTCGCCCGGAGCCTTTAGCTCAGTGCACATGCGCATGGTTGGAGGCATCCTGTTTCGGATTTGCCTGTCACTGTGGCCAGCCACAGGACGCCTGCGCCTACAGAGGGACCATGGGTGACTTGCGCTGCGCCACCCACAGCTCCAACCACACACCCCATATCCAGTGTAAACCCGAGGGAATAAGACCGGGAGACATGCGGATGGGAGTCACGTTTCATCAACGGAGCCGGCGCACACCCCTTCACAGGCAAACACAAGCACGCTGTATTTGGGAATCAAACGCACACAAAGCGGTGGTTAGGCCGTAGCCAGCTCCACACACAAACCATGTGCATAGATCCACTTGCTGAGCATAACACGGTCACGAGG